TTTTGTTTGTTTTTATTACAATCTCTACGTAAAACAAGTACTTTTGCTTTAACTGACTCCATAAAGGAAACTTATTTTGATATCTGCTTAAAAAGGAAAAACTTTTTATGAAAAACCTGCACTGATTTACATTTTAAAGAGATGGGTAAAAAAATCTTCCTTGGTATATTCAGGCAGGTCTTATCCAATAAGTCAATACAACTCATTACAAAGTAGTATATAACAATCAGTAGTATTGTTAGTGACAGGGGTTGTTCTGAGGTATAAATTAATGGTCGCAGAATTCTGAGATGAGAATTTTCTATAGTTTTCTGATGTATTTTGTTCTGCTTGTTTTCTAGCCCTCATAAGGGAACATAATTTAGTTAATTTTAACAGCCTTTATTATTGACAGTATTGTTTAAATACTTGCTGTACCCATCTGATATAACCTACGTAATGACCTACATATGGAACACCTTAATAGTGACTAGCAAGCCAGGATGTTTTCAGTTTCAGTAACTTTAATCACATAAATTCAACGAAGGTACTAGGCATCCCCCACCCAAGTATTTGTAAACAGTAGCTACTTTTTCTTTTTTAAATAATCCCTTCATTATTATTATTACCTCTAAATAATAGCTCAGTGATTAAGAGACTGGCATCCTCTATCTATAGAACACTGATAACTGCAATACAAGTTTCCCCACTGACATGTCAGTACACTTGAACTCTGACATGGCAGGACCACCCCTACAGACAAACAAGATATGATTGTGGGTGAAAGAAGGACTGGGGGACAACAGGATACCTGAACCACTTCTGTGCCTTCGATTATCTTCCTATAATAGGATACAGATGGACAATTAGCGCTTCCTGCAACAACATATGATCTCTCAGGATAAGCCAGATCCCAAAACCTACAGAAAAACAAGAAAGACAAATGTGAGGACAAATGCTCAAATCTGCTTATATTTTCATGCTATTTTCCCAATAGTCTTCTTGCTTTCTATGGTACAATTCAGTTAGATCAGACTTTACAGAAACACCAAAGCAAAAGTTCCAGGTTATAAGTACAAAAACCCCCAAAATAAAAACAAAAACAAAAAACCCCCAAAATACTAGTAAAGTTTGTATCTCTCAATACACCAATAACTGAACTACTTCTTCCAACACAGCACATCAAGCACTTCATAAAAAAGGTGGGCAGTAACTCCATTCTAAAGATAAGGAAGTGAAGTTTCCTAATGTAAAAAAAGACAGCAGACAGCACTGTTCTCCACTCACTGTTGCTTTTATATAAGAAGTGGACATAACCAAATACTGATGCCTAGTGTAATGGGACTACATATAATAAAAGCAATAATATTAAGAAGCAAACCCTTGTAGCACAAGATTACATATCTTAATACTCAGGCACATCTTATTCAAAAAGATTGCTCATATTATTTTTACCTTATTTTCATATCTGAACCTGCTGTCAGTAATATGGGATTTCCAGCTGCAGGGCTACAGTATATTCCATGAACACTGTGAGGTGAAGGCTGGTGAGAGAAAAATGAGGACATGTTACTTCCTTCAAAACCACTTGTGTGTTGCCTGACTTAACAGAAGGAAAGCCTTCTGTACAGCTTGCAAAAGACTGTTTTTCACTTTGTGACAAAATACTAATCCACTTTGTTAAATGGTCAAATCTTAAAATGTACAGAGGTAAGTAACTTCTGGTTTTGTGAGCAACAGAAACAACAGACCTAACTCTTCTTAGGCAGGACACAAAACTCGAAGTTTCCAAAGAGGTATTTCCAAGTGAAATTAAATTATCTTTGACAGAATTGGGTGCACAAAATCAAGTTGAAAAGCATGGGGTACAACTAAAACTTTGATAACCCAGTGGTATCAAAGTTGTCGGCTGTGGCTTTTTTTTTTTTTTTTTTTTTTTACTAATTAACCAAATCATGCAATGTTTGTATATTTGGTTATGAAAAGCCATCATTATACAGTAGGTTTTAAAGAACTTGGACAATAAGCTGAATATGAGTTAGCAGTGTGCCCTAATTGCCAAGAAGACTAACGGCATACTGGGCTGCATTGGTAGGCGTGTTGCCAGCAGGTCAAGGGAAGTGATTATTCACCTCTGTTTGGTGCTGGTGAGGCCACATATGGAGTAGTGTCCAGTTTTGGGCACCCCACTACAGAAAGGATGTGGACAAACAGAGTCCAGCAGAAGGCAACAAAAATGTTGAGGGGGCTGGGGGGCATGACTTATGAGGAAAGACTGGGGGAATTGGGCTTATTTAGTCTAAAGAAAAGGAGACTGAGAAGAGACTTAATAGCAGTCTTCAACTACCTGAAGGGAGGTTTGAAAGAAGATGGACCTGGACTGTTCTCAGTGGTAGCAGAGGACAGAACAAGGAGCAACAAGTTGCAGCAAGGGAAATTTAGGTTAGATAGCAGGAAGAGTTTTCTCACTAGGAGGGTAGTAAAACACTGGAACAGGTTACCCAGAGAGGTGGTGGAAGCTCCATCCTTGGAGGTTTTCAAAACCCAGTTAGACAAAGCCTTCGCTGGCATGATCTAGTAGGGGCTGGTCCTGCTTTGAGCAGGGGGGTGGACTAGATGTGACCTCCTGAGGTCCCTTCCAGCCTTAACTTTGTATGATTCTAATCCAACAGTAAAGGGAAACCTACAATTTTTATGAGTAGATAATCATTTAACTAAGTACAGGATATTTGAATTTCCAAATTTATAAAAGGAAAAAAAACCCCACACACAACAGTTGTGGTCAGGGAGGAATTTTTTTTTTCTTTCCTTCCATACATTTCACACCCCTGGAAAACAAAGGCAGCTCTCACAGCTGAACAGCAGTTAAAAAAAAGCCATACAATACAGATTGATTCATAATAAGGTATCTTTTTCCTATTTAAAAAAAAGTATTAAACCTAGTGGTGGGTCTACACTGTAAAAAGGAAAGTGAAAAAGAACAAGGTATTACTATAATCTCAGGAACAGCATTTAGAAGTAATAAAGAAACCATGACACAATACTATAAATGTTGGGAAAATCTGTACACTTTCCACCATATTTCAGGTTGCTGGTTTGTTTTTTTGTGAAAACATGAGTGAAAACCATGTATCATTATCATCTCCTCTACAACAGATGAAGGTGTAAGGGAGGAGATTGGAGGAGAAATAGGGAAACATTTCTGTAATGTCCTAGAGCCTTTAAATAAGCTAAATTGAGTGTTGATAGCAAAACATAACTATACTGGTAAAAATAAGCCCAGGTTGAGAAGTTAATGAAAGAGAGGACAGAAAGTTAAATTAGAGGCAAAAGTGCTGAAGTACCATTTGGTGTCTGAGGACTTCTTAAAGAGAATTATGAAACAATGTAATGGGAAAAGAAAAAGGAACCCAGACCTGTAATTCTGAAAGAGGAGGCGCACTGCTGGCCCACAGAGTAAAGCGCCTATCGCCGGTTTCCATATCCCACATGGAGACTTCATTATTGCCTTGAACAGCTACAGGAAACACATTGCCAACACAATTACAGATACGCCAGATGGCTTGGCTCTTGCACCTCTTCTGCTGAGGTGCAGTATAAATACTTGGCTTGCTTTCCTGCAGGATCATGCTTGTCACGCTTTTTTTAGTTTTGAAAATATTTTGCCATTTTCATTGCTACAGTGGCCAGATTCACTGTGGTTAAAGGGCCCCAAATAACTTTAAGGTAATTTATACTGCTTAAAAAAGAAAGCTCTCCATTTTTTCCAATAATCATTTAAAAGTGTGATTATTTCCAGCCAGGGAACAATCT